TCTTTCTGTGATGCATCTGAGCATTACCTGAGTCAGTGTGCGTCCTTCGCCCAACTTACCCCTGATCAAGTTAAGACCTGGATCCGTAGTCACAATCGCTGTTGGCGCTGTGCCAGATCCCACCATGCTGCCCAATGTGATCTGAAGAAGCCCTGCAGTCTTTGCCGTGGCCTACATCTTCGTTCCCTTCACGACGTGAATGTCAGTCCTTCCTCTATTGAGGATTCTGCTACTGTGGAGAAGAGTTGCTTCACGAGTTTCTCCTCAGACAGGTTCTTCTTGGATAAGCCTTCTGTTAGCGGCCGTGTGATGCTCAAAGTGGTTCCAGTGCACCTGCGCTATGAGGATCACACCCTGGATACCTTTGCCCTCCTGGATGATGGGTCAGAGCGAACAATCTTGCTGTCCACTGCCGTTGAAGCCCTGGGCATTCAGGGTGCTCCAGAAGACCTTCCATTATGGACAGTCAGAGACGATGTTCAGGTCATTCGTGGTCGTTCCATATCCTTCCAGATTTCTCCCATCTACCGACCGCAGATCGGTTATCAGATCAGTCATGCCTTTACTGCTGATTGCCTTAACCTGTCGTGCCAGTCCTATCCAGTTGAGCAGTTACGGCGGAAGTACAGAAACTTGAGGGGCCTTCCTATTCGTACCCTTACGGATGTCCAGCCCTTGCTCCTTATAGGTTCTGACCAACCGCACCTTATCACCCCCACTGAGCCTGTTCGATGGGGCGGGTGGTTCCTGTCCAAGATAAGCTCCTTCATCACGTTCAGAAATTGTGGCAGTTGGATACAGTTCCTTACCGTGTGTGTAAAGAAGTGACTCGTTCCAAGCAGGATCAGGAAGCCCTTCAGCTGCTTGACCTCAAGACCCTTACCCTAGAGATCGAGGGTGTTCGTCGCCTTGCCACTCCTCTTCTTCGTCATAGAGATATGCCTCAATTAAATGCTCCGACAGATTCAGTCCTGCCTAACCTCCGCAGCGTGGAACGGCGTCTGCTGAAAGATCCTGAGAAAGCCAAGACCTACCAAGTGGAGATGCGGAGACTCCTTGAGACTGGAGCTGTCCGTGTTGTGCCTGCTTCTGTTCCTGATACCCCTGAGTGTTGGTACATTCCTCACCACATTGTTAGCCACAATGGGAAGTCCCGTCTCGTCTTTAATTGTTCCCATCAGTACCGAGGTCAGAGCCTTAACCAGTACCTACTGCCTGGACCTACCCTTGGAGCCTCATTGTTAGGTGTCCTCCTTCGTTTCCGAGAGCATCCTGTAGCCGTGAGCGGAGATATAAAGGCGATGTTCCACCAGGTTCGCCTCCTGCCTGAAGATCGTCCTCTACTCCGCTTCCTATGGTGAGATCTGCAGATGGATGAGGCTCCTCGGACCTTCGAGTGGTTGGTCCTACCCTTTGTACCCTTTGGCAGCCCTTGTTGTGCTGTCTACGCACTCCAGCGCCACACTCGTCAGCACCCCTTAACAGACTTAACAGATCGTTTCTCTGTAGAAAGATGTTTCTACGTAGATAATTGCCTCCAGAGCCTACCTACTGCTGATGCAGCCCGGAGTCTGATTGATCGCCTGCGCACTATCCTGTCTGGGGCTGGATTTGAGATCCGGCAGTGGGCCTGTAACGATCCAGCTGTATTAAGTCACCTACCTCCTGAGGCTCGAGCAAGTAGTGTGGAGTTGTGGCTAACGCAGGAGAAGGCAGACGTCCCTGAGTCCACATTAGGGTTGAGTTGGAATTGGCAGTCCGACACCTTGTCCTATAAACACAGACCCGTGATCTATGCGACCCCTACCTTGCGGAATATTTACAGGGTCCTTGCTACACATGGACACTTCAGGGCCCTGTTCCTTCTATGGGTTGTCCTTCGACTCCTCGCCAGTGCTTGCTTACCTCTTTGGTTCCTGTCCAAGATGAGCTCCTTCATCACGTTCAGAAATTGTGGCAGTTGGATACAGTTCCTTACCGTGAGTGTAAAGAAGTTACTCGTTCCAAGCAGGATCAGGAAGCCCTTCAGCTGCTTGACCTCAAGACCCTTACCCTAGAGATCGAGGGTGTTCGTCGCCTTGCCACTCCTCTTCTTCGTCATAGAGATATGCCTCAGTTAAATGCTCCGAGAGATTCAGTCCTGCCTAACCTCCGCAGCGTGGAACGGCGTCTGCTGAAAGATCCTGAGAAAGCCAAGACCTACCAAGTGGAGATGCGGAGACTCCTTGAGACTGGAGCTGTCCGTGTTGTGCCTGCTTCTGTTCCTGATACCCCTGAGTGTTGGTACATTCCTCACCACATTGTTAGCCACAATGGGAAGTCCCGTCTCGTCTTTAATTGTTCCCATCAGTACCGAGGTCAGAGCCTTAACCAGTACCTACTGCCCGGACCTACCCTTGGAGCCTCATTGTTAGGTGTCCTCCTTCGTTTCCGAGAGCATCCTGTAGCCGTGAGCGGAGATATAAAGGCGATGTTCCACCAGGTTCGCCTCCTGCCTGAAGATCGTCCTCTACTCCGCTTCCTATGGCGAGATCTGCAGATGGATGAGGCTCCTCGGACCTTCGAGTGGTTGGTCCTACCCTTTGGCACCACCTCCAGCCCTTGTTGTGCTGTCTACGCACTCCAGCGCCACACTCGTCAGCACCCCTTAACAGATGAGGAGATTCGTTTCTCTGTAGAAAGATGTTTCTACGTAGATAATTGCTTCCAGAGCCTACCTACTGCTGATGCAGCCTGGAGTCTGATTGATCGCCTGCACACTATCCTGTCTGGGGCTTGATTTGAGATCCGGCAGTGGGCCTGTAACGATCCAGCTGTATTAAGTCACCTACCTCCTGAGGCTCGAGCAAGTAGTGTGGAGTTGTGGCTAACGCAGGAGAAGGCAGACGTCCCTGAGTCCACATTAGGGTTGAGTTGGAATTGGCAGTCCGACACCTTGTCCTATAAACACAGACCCATGATCTTTGCGACCCCTACCTTGCGGAATATTTACAGGGTCCTTGCTACACAATATGACCCTCTGGGACTGCTCCTTCCTTACACAACCCGTGCGAAAGTGATAGTTAAGCACCTTTGGAACAAACAGAGAGAGTGGGACGATCCCAGCCTGCCTCCTGATCTTCTCCATTCCTGGATGCAGTGGGAAGAAGAACTTCGCTGCCTTCCTAGTGTCTCTTCCTCGGCCTTATGTCCCCCCTGCAGTTAGGACTGAGGGAGTTACTCACGAGGTCCACATCTTCTCAGATGCCTCTGAGCAAGCATACGGAGCCGTAGCTTATCTACGTACTGTTGACCCAGCCGGTCAGACCTACCTCTCCTTCCTTATCGCTCGTTCCCGTGTTACCCCTAAGAGAGTACACTCCATTCCCAGATTGGAGCTCTGCGGGAGCTTAGTTGGCCGATCAATTCTGGTCCCGATTCATCCATGATTACCTTCCCAGTCTGCAGACCAGGCAGAAATGGCAAGCCTCGCCTCCTGACCTCCGAGTGCATACCTACGTCATGATTGTCAACCCTCAGTTGCCCCGAGGTTTATGGCCCGTAGATAAAGTCATTCAGACCCATCTCAGTCCCGATGGTCATATCAGATCAGCAGATGTGCAGATCAAGGATCAGATCTATACCCGACCAGTGGCCCGCCTGGTTGTCCTACCAACCTTGCCTTTAGATGATCCTGGAGTCTCTAACCCTCCAGCATAGAGTCGTCTTTCCTGATTACAAAGATGATTCTCATCTTTGGGGCGGCTGTTGTAAAGGCTCCTTTAAGAGAGAGCTTTTATTCTGATATTGTATGTCATCATCCGGCTGAGTAGTCTCGTGAGTTGAGCCGCTGCTGTTGTTGAACGCTGAATGGACGTTAATTCCTGTTTATTTCTGATATTTCCTGCAGAAGTTACTTTGAGGTGTTAGTCATTGACCTACAAGTAAGCCTGTTTGCTTTATTTTTGTGTCTATGGAGATCGGTATTGAGTTATTTATAACTGCGTCATACACACACGTCCAGACATGCCCACAGCCGTTGTTTCTGTCGGTTGAGCTTAAGGATGCTGTTATATATGTGATTATTTCTTCTTTATTGAGATGTATATCACTGTTTTGGTTTTCAATGATACCTTTATGACGTGATTTGACATTTCGAGCTGTTCATGATGCCAAACGAGCGATCACTGTGATGTGCCGCGATTATATCCATATATGGAGTGATGTTTATCATGTCAGATGATCGCTTATGGCTTATAATGTACAATGTGATACCTTTTTTCCCTTCTTGGATTGTATATTTCACAAAACCATGTTAATGATGAGGATTTAGTATGCTTTGGCTGTCTTTATTTACCAATGGATGTTATAATTGTATATGCCTAGTTATTGTTAGTTATTCATTATACTTTATTGTATTTCTTGTGTTCCAGACTAATGCCTCTACTGCCTGTCATTGATAATCTCCTATCAATACATTCCATAAACCCACCCCAAATGCTCTCATTGGTTGAGACGTGTGATGACACCCATCCCAAGCCAGTACTGATCAACATCCCACCCCTCCTGTGACCCCATGGTTTGTATGTGTATTCAGAGCCAGTGAGCAATGGGCTTTTAAAATAATAATTTTAAAAAACCACTGCGTTAATGCGCAATAAAATAATTGTTGGCGTTAATTAATGCGTTAACTCGATAATAACGCGTTAACTTGCCCAGCCCTAATATATATATATATTATATATATATTTATACACACACACACACACATATATATATATATATATAGCATGCAGAAAAAGTTAAAATGAAAAGCTTTCATTTTAAATAGAAGTCTTTTGTAACAACATAAATGTCTTTACTGTCATTTTTGATTAATTTAATGCATCCTTGCTGAATAAAAATATTAACTTAAAAAATCTTTACATCTTACTGCACAAAGCACATTATTTCAGTGTTTGAAAACCCTATTTGTTCCTTAGGAATAACAATGTATATCATTCCATTGTTAGGGAGCAGAGAAGAAAAAAAATGTTTTATTTTATTACATAGTAACAGAATACATATTCTTCTGTTTAGCATCACATTATAACATAATACATAGTCATAGCTCAATGATGTCAATTTTTCATCATTAAATATCTAAACTTCATGGCCAAACATCCCCCACTCGCAGATACACAACAGCTCAGAAACCATTCTGATCCATTCAGCAATATACACACACATACTTACAATTCACACTTCTTACAGAACATACACACATCCTCACAACATACAGACAAAATAAAAGGATATTTTAGTACACAAGAAAACAATAACATCGAGGACAGGTGTTGATTAACAGACTCTGTCTTTGTTTTAATCGAGATCCTGAAACACAAGCAGACATCTATTGTACATTGAGGAAAAGTGTACCTTGGAAAGACGCAAGGTACCACTACATTCATGATCATTCATTCAGAAGTCCTACTTCACGCTCTGCCTCACATGGGGAAGGAGCAACACTGCATGAAAATGGTCATTTAGAGCAAACGGGGCTTTCAGACAAGGCCATAAGTGAAACCATTGTACATTAAAATACTGAGGGAAGGTAAGCAGGGCAGGACATATGTGTGCGGTACAAGAGCATGTGATGATAAAAACTATATTTAAAAAAAAAAAAGGTATGTGAAGGGTAAAAACAGGAAAACATAATATTTAACCACAATTCAATATCTTTCATTGCCTTCTTGTATCATTGCATCACCCTGGAAGAAGTCAGGCCTATGACAGGCTTGAATGTACTGCCTTATAGTGCAGCAGCTGACAAGTGCTTTCATGTGATAATCAATTTCAGCTTTTCATTAAAACATTGTGAACTATGTGCAGGGGTTTATACGCAGGTACAAATCAAGCATGCACTTACTAGCTCATACAATATCATATAATCTGATCGGCACTCCAAAACTGTTGTTCAAATGCAAATGGCTTATTCTCATTAGAAATGTAATGACACTCAAAGTGGAAAGCATATTTAGCCCACAGGAAAAATAATAACCACGCTTAAAAACTGGATTCTGTAGTGTTTGTGGAGTTGCTCATTGCCCTTTCCCGTAGTATAAAGATGCAGATGCATTTCCGCGATGGAATTTCAGCGACAAATTCATCTACGACCAGATGCATCATTCATATCCCATGACTATTCTTAACGACCCCATAAAAATCACACTAAAAACCTGCTTTGATTGAAAACGCATTTAAAAGAACACTGCCCAACATTAAGGAGCATTTACATGGAGGACTCATAGAGCTTCAAAACCGGTGGATTTCTCTGCAAGCGCTTAAAAATAAAGGTTCCTTTTGAAAATGCAATTGAACCAGTGTACGGTTCTTTCTAGAATATGTCTTACCGTTAAAACTGAAAACACAAACATTCATTTATTTACATGTCCTTAAAGAGTTTTAAGAGGTTTATCCATTTTTTGAAGCCACCAAACTTAAAATTCATAAGTGCGATAGAATTAAGGTGCGGTTGCATTAGTGAAATTTTGGTGAAATTTCACAGGCAAAAAAGATCCAATGTCTATTATGTCACTCCAATGTCACTATTGTTTTCAATAGTGTAGCGATGTATAAAGCACAGCTCACAGAGAAGTTACTTCCAAACCAAGCAGCTTTCTGTTGGTCAATGCGGTGAACGACTTACCAACGTGAATCTGTTGCAAAAGGAAATTGTTCGCCCTCACACGAAATTCCAGATCACATGGATACCCATTGAAATGACAAGATTTTGCCCACGAAAATTCAACAAATAGCAGTAAATGTAACCGCACCTTTAACTAAAGCTAACATTCCTAACTCCATCCGAGTTAGTCATGCCGTCTGTTAATATGTCCACAAAGCATAATGGTGAATGGAAGAAGAGGAAGAGATGAAAACAAAAGGGGTCTAAAAAAATAAAGCTTTGTTAAATCTCTGCATTATAGTCTGTTTCTGCTTTTGGTTCTACCTTTAGCTTGAATACAATGGATCTCAGAGAATGAAAACATTGAAGCACTATGTACACGTGCCACCGACGGTGGAACAAAAGTCAGTCGTTCAGTCCGTTGATTGATAGCTACAGCCTGACATCATTCCTGATGGCTGGACAGAATAGGCTGCCTGCAGATGGGGCAGGTGTTGTTTTCAGATAGCCAGCGGTCGATGCAGTGGATGTGGAACTCGTGAGCGCAGGGCAAGCGACGCAGCTTGTTGCCCTGAGCGTACTCATTGATGCAAACGCTGCAAGCGCGGCCCAGCTCGCCCTCCAGGTTGACCTGACCATAAGTGCGTGTGACCAGATTGTCGATCTGTTCTTTGGTGAGGCCCCTTGGGTGCTCCTCGTCTTCATCTTCGTTGAGAAGGAAAAAGTGCGCCAGCCTTAAGATGGGCAATGTCCCATTTTCCACCAAGCTGTTAGTGTCCCTGCTGCTAGGTCGTCCCTCTGTCCCAGTCCTGCTCACCCGCACTTGTCCTTCCTCCTCACCTGCCATTAAACCTTCTCGTGCCGTTTCCACTCCGCCATGGGCCACACCGCCCTCACCACTACTAACGCGGTACGCCTGGGCTCCACCAGCAGAAGCGGTGTCCTGGTTGGGAGTGGTGGTCTCCGAGTCTGCTTCCGTCTCCATGAGGGAGCTGAGCTCACCAAAGCCGGTCATGATCTGGCGCAGGATAGATCTTAGCGCCATGGAGCTAGGCTCGCCAAGACCTGTCTCAGAAATGCGTCGCAAAGGGATTCGTATTGTGCTAACGTAAGTGCGGATTCCCGCACGCTCCGAGCGCGAGATGGTTCGACGAAAGCCGCCACTGTCGCTCTCGAAGGTGACTGTGTTCTCGGCGGCCCGAGCACGAGAGCGAGTGCGACTGGCAATGCTGTCCCTGTCCCGGTTCTCGCCCGGCCTGATGCGCCGCACCTGGAGGTCCAGCATGATAGTGGGGTGGCGCCGCACACCTCCAGCACCCGATACAGGCGTTTCCCCCTCTTCCTCACCTGCCTCCGGAGGATCCGTTGGAGCAGCTGGCTCTACAGTGGCCTCGCCCATTTCCATTGCTACAGCGGTACTTCCGGTGGAATCCACTGGGGTGGCGCTGCTGCTATGGGTGGGGCTAACATTGGAGGTGGGGTTTCTGTCCAGGGGGGAGCGACTACGTCTCGAAGAGCGAGACAAAACCCCACCAGCTCCTGCTGCCCGGCGCACACGGCCACGTGAACGAGTCCTGCTGTTTCGTGGCTCACGGGCAGCCGGCGCCACCTGGGGGCCGGACTGAGGCAGAGTGGTGGGGCAGTCAGGGCCTTCATTTCCATTCTGCCCCTCCCCTGCGTTAACTGAGGAGGTTGTGACCTGTATTTGACCCCTTACGGCACCACCATCCTGCTCTTGTGACTGAAAAGCAAGTGGAGCCTGTGGAGGAGGAGAGCTTGGCAAAGAAGGCAAGTTCCTCCTAAGAGCTGTGGGAGGAGCCTGTGAGGTCAGAGGTGGCGTTACAGGCAGAGCCGTGTTACTGCGAGTGCGGCGCACCGCGGCCCTCCTTCCCAGGGTGGGCCTGGCTGTAGAGTATGGCGTGGGGTGTTGAAGTGTGTAAGGTGCAGACCTTGAGGGGTTGTAAGGGGTCGTGGGTGCAGAGGCAGGCAACACTGGGGGAGGAGGAGGAGGAGGAGGAGGAGGAGGCATTGGAAGTTCAGTCGGGTCAGGGGTGTCGCTGTGTTCTCCAGGCTCGGGTTGCTCATGGTTGATGTTGATCTCAAGACTGAAGCGGAACTCGCCACTGTTAGGGTTGGTGCGGCTGACGGCACGCCATGTTTGGTTACCGCTCTGCCCGCTACGTGTAGCATTTCCTGTGCGCCGGAAAGTGTTCAGCCATTCCAACAGGGAGTCTCCATTAGATGTTTCCGCACCTGGCTCAACTGCACCTGAAAAAGAAAAAATTATTTATCAATATTGTATATTACCAATTTCTTATCAATATTGATGAATAAAAGGGTACGTAATGAAACAATTTACTTTCATTCAGGTTGTTTCTACTTGCACAACCTAAGTTGATTCGACAAGGATGCATTAAATTTACTTTTTTCAAAAACATTTAAAAAAAATCTTACCAGATTACGGTAGCTTACATTCAGAAGAATCACAAATGTGGACTGACAACAAAGTTTAACGTTACATTTATGCCCCCCGTGGTTCAGATTACATGTTTTACTATGGCTGCATAAAGCTATATATCATCACAACCTTAACCCCAAGATTTATGCCGCTGCACTGTTGCTAAAAAAACTCAGATGCATCCTGACTTGTTTTGTAATTGCATGTGTATTGCATACAAATCCAGCTGATCATTCAAAGTAAAAATATTAATATAGCTGAGCAACTGAATTCAAAACCATCCCTTTATGTCCTTACCACTACTGCCCTCTGCCTCACTGCTCTGTGGGCGGGTTTCAGGGCGTGGCTGAGATGACACTCGTTCCTTTGCCCCATCCAGACGCTGCCTCAGCTCCTCTGCTGTGACTTCACCTGTAATCAAACAAAGGCACACCCTATTTAATATCCATCTATTGTTCATTTAAGTAAAAGGCTATAGGTTTGGAAATTTGTACTTCCTCACACCTTACATTTTGTAAAATGCTTTACATATTTCTCTGTGTAAATGAAACTACATGCATCTTTGCATACGACCGGGTTCGGTGTGTTCTCACCAGGTGTTCCCAGTAGATTGCTGTCTCTCATTAGTCTGTATTCCTCCTCGCTCAGTTCATTAATGAAGTGATAGTATGCCTCCTCCCGCCGAAGCCGCTCCGCTTGACGATGACGCTCGTCTCGGCCGCCGGGAGGGTCCATCACCACAGAAACCGCTGCTCAGAGATATTACAAGATGAAAAAAAAAAAACACAAAAATTGTTCAATAGATACTTAAGCTGCCCGGTTATGACTTTTTCTCTGTTCTGTGTTACTTTTCTTTTCTCTGGAATTTTCTTATCAACATTAATATTTCAGTTTATAGGGGAACGTGTAAAATTTGTGGTCTTGTAACTGCTCACCATATATTTTAAGTTTTTCCATTTAATCAACTTTGATATTATGGTTGTGTGGTGGCAAATACATTTTTAAGAATGCAATGCCAAGTAGGTCATTAAAATTGCATGCACAATAATTATAAAAGAAAAAATAACATATAACATCATATGATATAATAATTTCCCTAACAAATCTCATGTCAACTATTCATCTTCAATAAAAACACGAAGGCAGCAATATATATAAATCACTCAAGAATCTGCAAGTGCATTATATCTGCAAACAAATATGAAGTCATGGTCTACGTTAATATAGAAACCAGCTCCACATATAAATCACTGAAAATGAGACAGCAAGAAAATGTACTCAAAATATCTTGGATATACATAAGGATAGCCTTAGTATTAACTTCTCTCTGTCTAAAACACAGCCACCATTAGGAAACAGCCCGACAAAATGAACGCCTCTGAAAGGCAATACGCGTAAATCCTAAAATGGAAGCAAAACCGCTTTGACACAGGTCAAAACAAACCGAGAGCCACGTGACGTTGACAATAGCGTCAAATTAATTAATATGAATAATACCTCAGTCATTTCAAACAGTATTGCTGCTCTGTAATAATACAGTAGGCCACAGACAGCACCGCAGAACAAGTAAGGCACCAAAACTGGGCTGTCAGCCTCACAACCAATCAGCGTCCGAGAAGCCATGACTGACAGTCAAGACTATCCACTCAGCATCGGTCAAAGGAGGGACATGACAAAGAAAAAGTCGGGCTCCATGTCAGCTAGCAACCTATACCAGAGACAATAAAAAGCCTAGGCTAGCACTCTACACAGGGTGAAATTCACAACTGAAATTAGTCATTAAACTGTCACCATCGCCTGTCACTGGGCAAACGCAAACCAAGCGGCGGAGCGAGCTGTCATTTTAAATGCGCAACACCTTTGATGGTGTCGACAGATTGCTGACAAGCTAACTGTGGGCCAATGAAAGGTTTAGATCATTATTTTGACAAGATGGGGAAAATGTCACTGACACAAGAACGTAACAGAAAATATGAAATGTAATAACACTGTCCAGATTGAGAACAAAATAAGGAAACGAAGCTAGTAATAGACATGTAAGTACCTGAAACAGCAGCTGTAATATGGACGAGTTCTCTTTCCTCTCCGCTCTGATTACAATGTAGCCAAGATGGGACCAACGGAGCGACACAAACAACTGTCCGGATAACTACCACGTGCGCAAAACCAGTTCCCACAGTAATACGCCAGTAACAACACTATATTGCACTTATTGATAACGTTTCTTTCTAGCTTTTTTCCTTTATTTTCTGCAGTGCTGTTGCTAATTGATCGTTTATCCACAATATTATCTCATAGTTAAGTTTGTGTTTTTATACATAAATTAGCTATATTGAATTATATTATGATAAAAATACATTATAAATGAAATTATAATATAATCAATATTAAATGCAGTTTATGTCGATTAAGCCGCTGTTAAGTTTCATTTAATTACAAAATATTATAATTTAATAATAATGTTATAATTTGCTTCTATATATTTTAGTATTTATTATTTTAGAGTATTATATGTGTGTGTGTGTGTGTGTGTGTGTTTGTGTTTACAAGCAATAATGCCTGTTTGTTATGTGAAGAGATTTAATAAAGGTTAAAAATAGTCAGAATAACAGTAGGAAGATGTCTGATATTTTTGAGAGCAACGAAATGCTTCATTTAAAAAAAGGCTGAGGATATATTTATGAATCTATCTGAACAACATCAAATGTTACATGATATAATAACTATAATAGTGTAGTGTTTTGTATGAATGTAAAAGCAAACCTGGCATTCAATATTATTGTTAATAAATGTAATATTTATAGTTAAGATAACATTTTGTATTATTTTGTTGTATTATACTACTATTTAGTATTGTTTGCACTGTGTAACCCGTTACACTTTGTGAAATTGTTGTTAAATATATATTGTTAATAAACATTTCTCTATGTATTGTATTGCAAAAAACAAAACGTATGCGTAAAAAAACACAAAAGCGCTCTAAAGAGTTAAAATCCACGTGGTGCGCCACAAAGCCCATTCCTCGCCGTCTGTGGTTGGTAGTGGCGTTCACGACGTTTTGCGACATACCGTGCGTGGACGCTCAACTCTCCCGGGTGAGATACCGGCTGAGCGGCGCAGTTGCACAGAAATATCAAAGAAAGCGACTGATAGTCCGATAACACTCTGCACTTTTTGTCAGATCAGAAGCACACGTGGTTCATACGCCGTCTCTGCTCGCGGTAAATGTGGACTCTTTCGCTGAGCGGAAAAGCGACGCGAGGGAAGGCAACTAATTGTCTAAACGGGGCTTGAAGTAAGTTGCCTCCCCAGCGGCGCATTAAAGGGAAGCCACAGCCCGGATCCCCAGAATAACGGTGAAAATGGACTATGATTTCAAAGTGAAGCTCACAGGGGAAAGAGAACGAGTCGAGGATCTCTTTGAGTACGAGGGATGTAAAGTTGGACGGGGGACATATGGCCATGTGTACAAAGCAAAGAGGAAAGATGGGTGAGTTTGCAGGATGGACTTGTGCAGCGATATGAGGCCTGCGCTGCCGTCGCGTTCTGCTCTCAGAAACCAAAACAGACCGTGTGTCATCCGCCCTCGGCCCGGTGTTTCAGAGAGCCACGTCTCTTGTCTTCAAAGAGAGTTTGATATGTACAGCTCACAGTTTCAGTGGAGGCTTATTTTGAGGGGATTGTGAATGTACGTCAGCAGGCACGGGTGCTGTTGTGATTGACGAGCTTATGCTGTTACGATGGGCACAAGGTGCATTTGATGCAGATTTAGGTTTGCAACATCATGTGTTGTTTTTCTTCGTCATGACGTAAACTATATTTACCTCTAACAAAAACTACACGTTCTTAATGGCATCTTTAAACAGCTGACTAAAGGGCTGCTCCAAAATACACAACGTTGCATAAAATCAGCATCTCTAGTGTAAAAGGAGGCTCTGATGCTGTTTTACATTCTTTGTGAATAAAGTGCAGCTTCATAGCAGCCTTTTATGTTGCCTTTGTCATGGCAGAGAATTCTAATTAATAGTTTCATATTTTATTTAGACTGTTATGTTTATAATTTGGTAACACTTTACAGTAAGGTCCCGTTGTTAATGCATTAAATAACAATGAGCGATATATTTGTTACAGAATGTATTCATCTTTGTTAGCCCACTTCCATTAAATGTTAGCAAGATTAATAAATTCTTTAGAATTGTCAGTTCATGTTAAATAATGTTAACAAATGGAATCTTACATCTAATTTCATATTTAAACCAGTTACATTTATTTCTTTACATTTTATAGCCTCAATTTTCTGTTGTTTTCCCTTGCAAATGCATGTCACCTCAGCTGTGTAAAGATATCATTAGTCTCCCAATTTCATGTCAACTCCTTGAATCCATTGCAGGTGTGATTGACGTCACTTTTGAGATATTTGCGTTGAGCGAATAGCGCTGCACGGGTTCAGAGGAGGATCTTTTTTAGCCTTTTTCAGGTTTCTTTTCCTTTTTCTGGTTTCTTCTGTAGAATATACCATTGAAAATACAGATGCAAAGGGGAATTAGAAGGTCTGTTTTATTAGAAGTCCGTCTCGGGAAAAAGGGAATTGAAATTCTTTGCTCTCAATGTTTTTGGTAACTTGCCGATAGGAATATATTCTCCAAAACTTTCTCACACTAGGACAAAAACAGGGATTTGCCTGTGCTCTTTATCCAAAGAAGGACAAATGATTCTCTTCAAACACAATGATCAAAGGGCTGAGAATAACAGTATGACAAGTGTAACCTTCTAGGATTAGATCATTTCTAACAGTTTTGTTTTATACATTTTCTGAAATTTAAACACACATTTATCAGGCTTTCTAATAGACTGCCAAACACATGATGGTCTTTGAATTTGTAGGGTCCTGTGATTTTTTATTATTTTTTTTCAGTTTGTAAAGCACTGATGGAATCACAGAATTCAGTCATAAAAACATGTTACTGTATAACGTGAAATGTCACAGAATTTGGCAAAAATTGGATGAATAAATCTAAAGAACATTGAAGTAAACTATATATAATCAAATTACAATGTGGACTAGTGTGTGTGAATTTTAAACCACAAAAAAGACTGTTATGCAGTTTAACTTTAAAATGTACTTAAAGTAACAAAAACAACAATTTTATTAAAACAATATTTTTGAAGGAATAGCACACAATATCACTTTTTTGAACAACAGAGCTGCACGGCAAAGTTTACAGTTGTGCAGCACTTTGTTTGCCAAAAAAGTTAAAGAAATTGTTCAAACTTAAGTTGACTACATTTTAAAAGATTAATGCATTTTTTCATTGCCACCATTTTTGATTCTTCTTTGTATTAAATCATAAATCCACAAAAATGAAAACCGACAACACAGAATTTCTAAAAAAAAAAAAAACATTTCATAGGGCCCTATTATTGTAAAAATTAATACATTCTTAAAGTTTTATGAATTCAATTCATTAGACATCCTTTTTGATTGTTAAAATGTAACTAAACCATTATAAGAATAAAATTAATTTAATAGGTCTCTAACTTTCTAATTCCAGCTGCTGTGTCAGTTAAAACTATTTAATTTTAAATTTAATTTAGGTTTTAATTGCCTACACTTGGAAAGAAATGAAACGACCATGACTTAAAAGTTTTGCATTTATTGATTAGAAATTAGAGCTGCGACTTGGGGAATAAATAAAAGACCTAAAAAGTCCATTCTACATTTTACTTGTATTGGTAGTTTTTGCTTGGAAAGCTTGACAGAAAATAACCCTCATGTCTGCAGGACAATTGTGGTCATATTGAGGCAGCTGAAATAGCATTCCTCCCAATTTGCATTTGCAATTGTATTTAGTGCTATCACAAGATATTCGTTTTAGTTATGTTCTTTAATGATTATTTGGTTCTGGTGCAGCAATCTTTTTCACACCAATTGTAAACTATCTTGGCGGAGTAAGAATGGATCTGCTGATGAGTTACTGTAAGTTGGTTCTGAAGTGCGGGGCTTTATTTGAGACCCATCAGACAGACCCAAAGCTGGGCTATTAAAGTCCAGACTGCCTGGCGGCCAAAGTCTCACTTGAAGGTCCTAAGTGTTTAAAGATGTTTTTGTTCACCATAGAAGCTGATTGTTTGTGAGCGGTTTACAGCTAATTTGTTCTCCAGAAACTGGACAGGGCGTTGTGGGATTTTATAGGCTGATGTTTTTTGCGGGACTTCATTTCAACATTACCCTCTTGCCTCGCATTAGTCGTCAGGAGACTTATGAGTTTTCGAAGGTGTTCTGGTAATAAAAGAGTCAAAATCATCTGCTTAAATTCTGCTTGGCCTTTCCTAGTGGATTCTTTCTCTCTATAAGGGTTTAATGTGATATGTAGGTATAGATTTAGGGAAATGTAATGTACTGAAGAGTAATTGCGGTTGCTTATATGTCTATATTTGCAGGAAGGATGACAAAGATTATGCTCTGAAGCAGATTGAAGGCACAGGGATCTCTATGTCCGCCTGCAGAGAGATAGCAGTAAGTACATCAAGCTTTAAACGCGTTTCTGTCAAGAGGATCTTCTTCAAGTAGCTCTGACACATGCCATCTTGGTTAAACAAGTTCCTGGAAATATATTTGCAGCATGTGGATACTTTACAGTGTTAAATCTGTGATTAGCTCTATGAATTTTTAAGAAAATTTGTATGCCTATATTCTCAAGTAATGTGAAGTAAAGGGATAGTTCACTTAAAAATGTAAAATTGTCTTTATTTTTATCACCCCCATCTTATTTCAAACCTGTATGACTTTTGTAATAATTCCATATAATGACTTTCGTTCTACTTTCTCACACAAGTATTTTGAATTCTTCTCTACTATATAAATGCAGTCATTGCTCTTGGATGTGGATGCCTGCTGTTTGGGAACACAGTCCTGTATCATTTCTGGGTGGCAATTATACAGAAATACTTGATGACATACTTTGCTCAGACATTTAAGAATGCAAATGCATTCAAAATGCATTTCCATCTCCCGTTATTTGCATTAACCCTTTTTCGCACAAGTTAAAAAACACCTAAAACAGGCTTAATTTTCTTCTCTTGTTTTTTGCAATTTAAGGAATTTTTTTTAAATTTGGTGTTTCCATCACTCGTTTCTGATGTGATAATTCAAAATGCGCATAAAAACAGGGTGATGGAAACAGCTTATGTCAGCATGACTATATGAAGCATTCATACTATATTGAACGTTTACTTAGTAATTACTTATTCAAAAGAAGTGATTTCGGATGCAGCCATTGATTTGTGTTCAGCTAGTCTGGTAGTCCAGTGAAGGTGAACATTATTAGCTGTCATTTGGTTTGATATGACTTAAATATTGTGCATTCATATGGACGGCTTTTATGATGGTTTTGTATCCTTTTGGAAGCTTTAAAACTCCAATTTCCATTTATTGTAATTGCATGGAAAAGAGCAACCAGCACATTTTTCCAAATTTCTGCTTTTGTCTTCCTTAGTCATAAAGGTTTGGAGCAGCATGAGGGTGTATAAACAATGACAGAATTTTTATTTTTGGCCAAACTATCTTTGTAATAAGCATTCTTCAGGCTGAAGTGATTTTGTGTACTTAAGGTGCTCTGTAGATGTCTGTCTCAGCATGTGCGTCTGTGTGTGTGTTCGTTCTTGTTTGCTCCCTGCAGCTGCTGCGTGAACTGAAGCACCCCAATGTGATCTCACTGCAGAAGGTTTTCCTGTCACATGCAGACCGCAAAGTGTGGCTTCTCTTTGACTACGCTGAACATGACCTCTGGGTAACATACAATCAAACGCTCATGCACACACACACAGAAATGTTTGTATACAGTACATATCTTGCTGAGGGTCTATGTTTCTTTGTAGCACATCATTAAGTTCCACAGGGCCTCCAAGGCCAATAAGAAGCCTCTTCAGCTTCCGCGTGGGATGGTAAAGTCTTTGCTCTACCAGATCCTGGACGGCATCCACTATTTGCACGCCAACTGGGTCCTGCACAGAGACCTGGTGAGGTTCAGTGTTATATTGAACAGTCAAATGTCTATCCAGATGTAGCTAATTTGACTTGTTTATATATTTTTTTGTGATCAGCTTGATCAAAAAATTTTACTGAGTAGAACGTTGTTCTACAACGCTGGTTGCACCGCAGTCTTCCGTCACTTAATCTTTTTATTTTGGTGCGTAAATCTGTTAAATTACTTAGTATAGGAGATCAGGATCTGCACTCACAAAAACGGTCTTCTTTTTTCGTTTTATTTTACATTCATCGTTGATGGGAAAAGACACAAATCAACGATGAATATAAAATGAAACGAAAAAAGACGGAGTGCGGATCATGATCTCCTATACAGAGTAGAATGTTCTAATACTTGGCTGATTATTAGAAATCCCATGACAATTTCCATTAGGTGGCAGCATTTATAAAATAATTTGTAAATATATTTTTGCCATAACAGATGTAAGGATATAATTTAACAATTCTGGTCTGGTTTCTTTATTTCTTTATTAATTCTGGTTTGTTTATTTATTTATTTTAATTTGATTGATTTATTTATTTTGAGGATGAAATATTTTGGGGGAAAATTAAATGTAACTTATTTGTCAAACTGTGGTGTTATGGTTTACTAAAAGCAAAACTATTCATTTTTTAAAATAAAATAATTGAATTTAATTGAAATAAAATAATAAGTTGATGTATTAAAATTATTAAATAAAATTACACTAAATAGGAATGTTTTAATAATGAAATAAAAATTAAAATAACAAGCACAACAAAATTACTAAACCTTAAAATGTCTAAACCTTAAGGTAAAAATAAAGGCTAAAGGCCCGTTCACATCAAGAACGATAACTATAAAGATAACTATAAAGGCAACAATATTAGCGTCCACACAAGTGGACAATATCATCTGTTTATTCTAAGCGCATGCTCATCTGCCGCTTTAAATTCTCGAGTTTGTTATAGCAGGATTGATTCTGATTGGCTGTCAAGGTTTTTATCGTTCATCAGCTGGAAAGAATCGTTCTGGAAGTGATTCCAACGATATCGTTTCTCTGTGCCTTTATCATTATAGCTGTGGTGTGTGGACTCTGCTATTCTTTAATATTGAGAACGATTTTTACAACTATATCTTTATCGTCATCTTTATAGTTATCGTTCCTGGTGTGAATGGGCCTTAATTCAGAATATTTAAAAATATGTATTTATACATAATACTGTTGCCAAATAATGCATGAATGAAGAATTCTAAAAAAAATATAAAGAAATTCTTGCAAAAGGTTAATGCTAATGGACCCAAGCGTCATTTAGTTTAGTTTTTTTTTTTTAACACATCCTGTTCACAAAAGTTGCAAAAGTTACTGCATCAGTTATCACAATGAAATGAGCGAGGAAGTGTTACAACTCTGAACTTTGACTCTTTCACCACAGAAACCTGCCAATATATTGGTAATGGGAGAAGGTCCTGAAAGAGGACGTGTGAAGATAGGTATGACATCAGCTCTGTTTCCTTCCTCTTGTGACAAACAGAAGAAATAATGGGCCTCATTTATGAAATACGAGCAGAACGATTTTTTGTGTAAATCATTCGCAAAGTCGTTCTGACGTAAATTTTCGGATTCATGAAAATGTTCGTATTTTGAAAATGTTAGTTGGTACAAATAAATTTACACCTGCTCCCTACCATGTGTAAATGGTGCGTAAAACGTTCAAACGTTCTGTATTCTTTTAGACAAACTGATGACACTGCATTTTTATGAACTATGTATTAGAATGATATTTAACGAGTTCATTTGTCGTTCTTGTTTGCTCCCTGCAGCTGCTGCGTGAACTGAAGCACCCCAATGTGATCTCACTGCAGAAGGTTTTCCTGTCACATGCAGACCGCAAAGTGTGGCTTCTCTTTGACTACGCTGAACATGACCTCTGGGTAACATACAATCAAACGCTCATGCACACACACACAGAAATGTTTGTATACAGTACATATCTTGCTGAGGGTCTATGTTTCTTTGTAGCACATCATTAAGTTCCACAGGGCCTCCAAGGCCAATAAGAAGCCTCTTCAGCTGCCGCGTGGGATGGTAAAGTCTTTGCTCTACCAGATCCTGGACGGCATCCACTATTTGCACGCCAACTGGGTCCTGCACAGAGACCTGGTGAGGTTCAGTGTTATATTGAACAGTCAAATGTCTATCCAGATGTAGCTAATTTGACTTGTTTATATATTTTTTTGTGATCAGCTTGATCAAAAAATTTTACTGAGTAGAACGTTGTTCTACAACGCTGGTTGCACCGCAGTCTTCCGTCACTTAATCTTTTTATTTTGGTGCGTAAATCTGTTAAATTACTTAGTATAGGAGATCAGGATCTGCACTCACAAAAACGGTCTTCTTTTTTCGTTTTATTTTACATTCATCGTTGATGGGAAAAGACACAAATCAACGATGAATATAAAATGAAACGAAAAAAGACGGAGTGCGGATCATGATCTCCTATACAGAGTAGAATGTTCTAATACTTGGCTGATTATTAGAAATCCCATGACAATTTCCATTAGGTGGCAGCATTTATAAAATAATTTGTAAATATATTTTTGCCATAACAGATGTAAGGATATAATTTAACAATTCTGGTCTGGTTTCTTTATTTCTTTATTAATTCTGGTTTGTTTATTTATTTATTTTAATTTGATTGATTTATTTATTTTGAGGATGAAATATTTTGGGGGAAAATTAAATGTAACTTATTTGTCAAACTGTGGTGTTATGGTTTACTAAAAGCAAAACTATTCATTTTTTAAAATAAAATAATTGAATTTAATTGAAATAAAATAATAAGTTGATGTATTAAAATTATTAAATAAAATTACACTAAATAGGAATGTTTTAATAATGAAATAAAAATTAAAATAACAAGCACAACAAAATTACTAAACCTTAAAATGTCTAAACCTTAAGGTAAAAATAAAGGCTAAAGGCCCGTTCACATCAAGAACGATAACTATAAAGATAACTATAAAGGCAACAATATTAGCGTCCACACAAGTGGACAATATCATCTGTTTATTCTAAGCGCATGCTCATCTGCCGCTTTAAATTCTCGAGTTTGTTATAGCAGGATTGATTCTGATTGGCTGTCAAGGTTTTTATCGTTCATCAGCTGGAAAGAATCGTTCTGGAAGTGATTCCAACGATATCGTTTCTCTGTGCCTTTATCATTATAGCTGTGGTGTGTGGACTCTGCTATTCTTTAATATTGAGAACGATTTTTACAACTATATCTTTATCGTCATCTTTATAGTTATCGTTCCTGGTGTGAATGGGCCTTAATTCAGAATATTTAAAAATATGTATTTATACATAATACTGTTGCCAAATAATGCATGAATGAAGAATTCTAAAAAAAATATAAAGAAATTCTTGCAAAAGGTTAATGCTAATGGACCCAAGCGTCATTTAGTTTAGTTTTTTTTTTTTAACACATCCTGTTCACAAAAGTTGCAAAAGTTACTGCATCAGTTATCACAATGAAATGAGCGAGGAAGTGTTACAACTCTGAACTTTGACTCTTTCACCACAGAAACCTGCCAATATATTGGTAATGGGAGAAGGTCCTGAAAGAGGACGTGTGAAGATAGGTATGACATCAGCTCTGTTTCCTTCCTCTTGTGACAAACAGAAGAAATAATGGGCCTCATTTATGAAATACGAGCAGAACGATTTTTTGTGTAAATCATTCGCAAAGTCGTTCTGACGTAAATTTTCGGATTCATGAAAATGTTCGTATTTTGAAAATGTTAGTTGGTACGAAAGAAATTTACACCTGCTCCCTCCCATGTGTAAATGGT